TCGTCGTACTATATATATATATGTATATATATATATATATATATATACAGGGCTGAATAATACCGCCTAATAGCACGGGTTCCAAAGGTTAGATTAAAAATAATTGCTCGATTTTGATAATCCTTTTTAACTTCTTTTACTACATGCACGTGCCATTTTTCTTCCTCGTGTTTCCTTTTTTTTACTGATAAAAAGTGTTCTATTGGAATTATTCGTATGCCAAGGTTCAAACTAAGAGGTGCAGGAGCAAAGTAGATAGTGATCAGAGCATTATTACGATATAATATCGAATTAAAAAACGGCACAACACGCAAAAGAATGGAAAAATGGGGTTTCTTATTCGTCTATACCACCACTTGGCGGATCAAGAACGTCTAGAATGGCTTATGGGTTTTGCCATGTACGATGAACGTGTATACGAGGTCGTTAATCAGCATCACCTTGTGCCTTCGATTCTTCAAACGCTCCCTTATTCACTTGCAGCGCAGTTTCTAGCGCGTGGCATGTGTTATGACAGCATTCGTGAAGAAGTCGTCTCCAATTTTCCTTACTTATGCAGGATGCTTTCTTCTTGCAAAACTGTAGCTGAAGGTGCGGCTCTATCGTCCTTGATTGGAAATTGTGGATTATTGGAGCAGCAACGAATGCAGATACTCTGTCATGATGAAGTATATCAGCTGATGATTCTTTCGGACTCAATTTTTGCACAGCGTGCTGCTCTCCGTTTGCTCGCATACGCTTGCTCAGATGATTCACTTTCCGATACCGTAGTCCAGCTGCAATACCGATCGGATATCCTTAAGCATATTAATAAAGTCTTTGTATCGACTCCTGACGTTGTCTCGCGCCGACTTTCTCTGCGTTGCTTGGCTCTAATGGGTGGCTTCAATGAGAGCCGTGCGGATGTGAAACAAACTGAGGCTTCATTATATGCGATTTCACAAGTAGTGCCAGAATTTATGGCGTACTTTTTAACGACATTTGTCTACGTAGGGCTTCGTATGTGGTTGAGACGCGCATCAGGTGCCGGGAAGCGATGGGAAGTCCATCGACGCGCATTCTTCTCGTCCATGTATTGTGGGTTGCTTGGCGTATACTGTGGCTCAATCTTAGAGTACCGCCTGAATAAGTGTCGTGTCTTATATGCGCGTCCCCAAAAACAATATAAAAACCCTAGAAAGGACGAGTCAAGTTGCGATATTGCATACACTGAGAATTCATATTTAAATTTAAATGATATAACACAGCGGGTACGCCAGATGCAGCTGACTACATACGGCATCACAACAAGTTTTCTCCTTGTTTCATCTCTTCGCCTAACCCAAGTGACTTTTCCTGCATGGATGGGTGATGTGGCGTGGCGCTATCCCTTCGTACCCCGACTGTTTCCCGCTCTTGTGGGGTTACCTACTGCCTCGCGTTGCCTAGCTCCTTTCGTTGTGGTTCCTTTCACGATAGTTTACGTGCTCCGGCCTAATAACTGGGGCACTAGCTTTTATGATTATTATATTGGAATGTGGATGTAGGTACGGAATAAGCAAAGATAATATGTCTTCCACGTGATGGGAAAAAATAAGGTTGCTAATGTGAACCTTCCTTTTCTCTATCTCAGTGATATGTACATTGATGAACCCTGAGGGTTTGAACCTTAAAAATTCACTGTATGGGCAATCCAAATAACAATAACATTATTATTATATGGTTGAGATAGTATATGTTATTTTGAGTGATTAGCAAAGTAATGAGTGTTTTTTTTCACAATAGGACACCCATGCTTTACCTGATCTTCTTCCTTTGATACAGATTCCCTGCGTCTTTGAATTTTATGTCTTTGTCGGCTTGATAGAAGACACTGTACATTAATCGAGAGGTGATTTTTTCTACCATAACACTTTCTTCAGACTTTCCCATTTCCTTGTGTATATTCAATGCGCTGAGGTCGTCGACAGCTATGGGAGTCGTTGAAGAAATTCTTGTGAGCTGCCGTGACACTCCAAATTATGCAGCGTGGTTGGACTTCTTAATGCACTTATGCATAGTATTTCGTCTTGCAGTATTGTTTAGCAATAGTAAAATATCTAAAAAAGATCTTTTTTTTTGAAATGTTATCCCCTACTGGTGTGATTTAACGCATATGCATTTTCTCTGAGTGTTGATTTGCGAATATTTCAATTTGTTTTTTGCTATGCCTCTTTTTTGTCTTCCATATACATGCAGTTATTCGATTTTGGTGTTATAATTGTTGATGACTTAGGACCCCTCTTTCCTAATATATATTCCTCGCAAACCTTTGTTTAACAAAACATTAGCGATCTTAAACTACTTATAATGCAGTTCGATAGTCTCTCTTTAGGGGAGTAATTGACTGACTGTGAAGGATTATAGGGGTCCTTTGAATTCACCTATCACCGCAATTACTCAACTGATTGCGGAGTATCGACCAGTTGCATTGTCTGTTTTTGTCATTCTGATCAAAGGAACCGGTAAGCTTCAAAAACATGACAAGAATCTCTTCGTCCATTTCAATAGCTTCTGTATATGGGCATTGTCACCACCCAACTTGTTCGCTGAAGTACCGTAAGTCAGGCTTATCATCAATGAATACATTAGCAGCAGTGGGCTTTGCGTTACAGAAAGCTTTGTCAGTAGCTCTCCCTCGTGTTGCTCTGATTCCTGTTCAAAACTTTTGTCTCGTATGTTCTACATCCACGATACCTTAATACAAATATGATTAGCTTCCATTTGTTAATATTTTTGAATGAAAACGATGCATCTCAATTTCTATTTAAGAGCAAAAGTTAAATCATGACACTTTTTAAACTCAAACGACCACGCCTACCAATTTTCCACTTCATGGGAATGCATCGGTGCACAGAAAGTCTGCATGCATCAATTCTATTTGGAATTGCATCTTATTGCCATGATCCGTGAAAGGGAAAATCCATTGAAAAAGGTGTACCCAATGCCTCGACTACATGTTTCAGACGCCACAATAGAGCTGTAAAAACAACAAAATATATAAAGTTCCTCCATATAAATTTCTCAACAACTTCTTTTATCCACAACAACACGATACGGCATCATTCCATAAAAAGATCGTATGACTATCATTTTAGGCAACAAAAAAATAAATAGTAAACTTAACTGTGAAAGCCCTCACGAATGTAAGTTGTATGTCATCGACTTATGTAAAGAATGAACAATAGTTCACATCTATGTATCTTTATTTTTTTGCTTCTGAATCTGGCATAGTGATTTCGAAATGACCGTGATACGATCTTTCTTTCCACTCCGGAACAGTAGACGTTTATCTGAAATAGGAAACGATTTTGAAAGTAATTTGTATAAGTATGGAAGGAATCAAAAAACTTTCTATTATTTCATAATCACTAATTTATCTTTACGATTCTATAGCTTACTTTCTCAATTCTCCATATTTTTTATATTTAATTAATTATTCCCCTTCTTTCATAAATAAATAAATAAATATATATATATATATATACTCATGTTCGTGATGTGGAATGTTTATCTTGCCCAGTTCATAATATACATATATATATTTGCAGGTAACAATCGGTTTACGATGAAGAGGAATATTGGATTTACCTGAGCACCTTTTAACGCTCTGAAGCGTTGTACGTGGTGTGTATTTTTTGGCGTTTTCTGCTACAAGTTTCATAAATATAATTCTAGTAAAAATATCCACTTTCTAATGCTAAATGTTTACTTCTACTTTTTCCCCTTTCGAATTAACTTTTCGTACTGTTTTTATGAAATGTGCCTACATAATTTGTTTCGCTTAGTAATTTATCTTAATTACGGCTCCATTCCACCCAATGGTGAAACCTTTGTGCCAGAAAGGTACTCTTTTCGTCAATATATTCTGTAAACTTCTTATATCGCGATTGTTTGTCATGGTTTCCTATTTTCTTCTTTATTCTGAGGTAGTAATCTAGTGAAAGATAGGAATTTCATATTCGTTTTCAAGTGAAAAAAATTAATCACCCTTTTTTTCCAATCCTGACCTTTTGTTGTGTTGAATATAACATATTTTCAAACACGTGCATCCAAATTCAAAACTATACCTTAATCAGTTTTTGGGATCATGTCTAATACAGCGCATAGCCACACAATGAAGATGCCGCCCTTACCGCATCGAGTTCCCAGGGCCAAGGAAATTGATTTGCACTCTAGCAAATCTAACGCAAGCGCTGTGATCGGTGAAGTCATATCTCTACGCATGTTTAGTGTAGGGTTTGGCGGAGTCTATAAAAGCGTGCAGAGACTCCTGCAGAACAAGGAGCTCATACGGGATATTAGGGTCGAAATGCTAGTATGCGAAAACAACTTGAACCTGATCAAGGAATCTCTAAAATTAGAGAGTACTCCGAGCAAGCACCCCGATTCAAGTCCCAAAGGCGGTCAGGTTGATTTTGAAGTCAATGTCTTACAATTCGTCGAAAAGCAGAAGGCCCTTAGAAGGGATGAAATTGAGAAAGATGAGGCGTACGCGAATATGCCCGAGATGCGTTTGGTGCCCCAAGAAGTTCAACAGGCATGGAAGGATTCCTCAATGTACCGACCCCCATACTCACCGGGCCCGAGCGCGCCGGTGGGTTACCCAACTCCCCCCCTCTCTCAGCCGTACCGACCGACGGAAAACCCCTACCGTCCCGGATCCCAACCCGCCCCAGGGGTCCTCTACCACCCTTCACCGCAGACGCAATTTAATCCGAACGTCGGCAACGCCGCGATGGGGCCTGGCCAGGCGGCGTGGCTGCCAAACGTGCCCACCGGGGCTCCCTACGCCATCCTTACGGGGAGTCCCCCCCCACTTGTGGGGTACCCACCTGGTGGGGCGTTGCCGCCGTTCACCGGCCATCCCCAATCGCGCCCTTCCCCCCCTTTTCGTCAGCATTATGGGCACTACACTCCTTGTTAGAGACCGAGGTGGCGGCCTGCCATGACCTCCACCCTCCTTTGGAGGGGCTCGTGTTGGGACCCATAGTCGATCGGGGATGGGTGTGTGGGAGTTATTTTTCTGTATCGTAACGGAAAAATTACGAGGAACATAGGAGTGTAGGTTAAAGCCTATGACGTTCAAGATGTTTAGAAGGATGAACAATGAGGGATACTATTTTCGGAATAGGGTCGATTTTTTTGATAGTCGTTTGGATGGGTTTTCCTGTAGGGTTTTCAAATTTCTTGAGACCGCCGGTCCATGAGATCTACCGTTGCGGTTCACCACAGAGGGAATACGACACCCCAGACCGCATTTATTTTCTTTCCTTCCATAGCTCGTGGTCTGGATAACTGCCTTAGCCCTTTCGCTTTCCTATAATTACTGGGATGCCTCCCTCCAGCTTTTCTTCCGACGAAAGAAATATACACAACTATTAGAAGGATGCTGTCATACACTATAGCATGTTGCTTGCGTTTACGAAAAAAAACGAGAATATCTCTATACATATATGTGTATATATAGATATATATATATACTCTTGCTACTATCATTGGTGGTTATGGTCGACAAATTAAAGAGAGATCTCCATGTTTGATCGATAATTTTTCATTTCAAACAAGTTAGGATTCCCTTTCTAGGTATAAATACCGGGAAGTTTGCTTTTCAGTTTTATATTTGGGTTAATACTTATGAGTTCAGTCAATTTCTTTTGCGTGTGTAATCTATTTTTTTAATGGTTTCGTGCTTTGAATGTATAACATATGCATACTGTTTCTACTTCTCTACTTTTTTCTCTATTTTGCCCCCATTTATTACATTCTTTCTTTACATCTTTAGGTTTAGATAAATACAGTTATTTGAAGCTCTTCTCACGGAATCTATATCTAAGGACGCATTTACTCTTTAATATGATTTTTTCCTTGAAAGTTTCGATATCTCCTGAGTGGGCCGAGATTCACCGAAACTTTGCATCACTTATTAGACTCTCAAACATTGCAACACCACTTTCGAAGTTTATTAATGTTCAAGGTGATCTGGATGAAGTTGGTCTCCATAATAGTTCTTGCCACTCTCCGGTACACGACCCTGAGTCGCTCAAGCTTTTCGAGTTGCTTGCTCCGGTAAAGATCGAATTTCCTCCAGAACCGACTACCGAAGAGCTTTCGAATTTTCATGCGTTAGTCACCAATCTTGAGATCCAACAGAAGGATGAAAAAGAATATATTGGCCTGATTTTCCAGGAATATTGCAAACGTAAGAGTATCATGCAGAAGCGTGAAAAGGAGTTCGATGTATTCATTGAAGAGATCGCTGAGTTGCAACGTCGTGATTTGCCGCCCTCGATTCGTCAGGGACTTGTGATGATAGAACAAGAGGAGACCAGCACTCGTGATGAGCTCTTAGCAGTATACGATCGGTTCCTGAAGTGGATTGAAGAGGTTCAGCCTCAGTGGTTAGAGGCGGTCAATCGTCTGGTAGAGGAAAACCGCATAAAGGAAGAAGCCAAGAAAGCCGCACTAGAAGCCTCAAAAGCACTCTTGGTGCAGGAGCTAACAGCTGGAAAGAAGCTCTCATCGATGTCGAACAATCCGGTGGGTGAGTCAGGCAATAACGTGGATTCGTCGTACGTTCCCAATGTGGCGTTGGATGACGCCACTCACGAGGAGCCTTCGCCGGCTGAACTGAGACACAAAGCCATCGAGCTGCTGGAACAACAGGAAGCTGTGATACGTCATCGCCGGGAGCAGCAGTTGCTGGAGCTAAAGCTAAAGGAAGAGTCTATACGCAAGCACATAAAGGATAAGGAAAACGAACGTCTTGCCGAAGAGGAGAAAAAGCGGAGGGAGAATTGGGAACAGCTACACAAGAGTTTGCTTGAGCAGGAGGGTATTCTTCAGGAGCGCTTACGCGCTCGTGAGGAGGAGAGACGTCAGAAAGAAGAGGAACGTCATATGTTGTTAGAGCATTGCGCCGCTGAGGAGGAAATTATCCGCCGTCGTCTGAAGGACCAGGAAGCCAGGCATAAGGCTGTAGAAGATGAGAAGAAGCGCCTTGAGGCTCAGAAAAAGAAGGACTTGTACGAGCACATCCTTGCCGAAGAGGAGCTTCTTCGCCAGCGCATCCAACAACGCGAAGCTGAAAAGGAAATAGAAAAGCAACAGCAGGCTGCAGCAGCTGAGGAGGAGCGTCGGAAGAAGGCTGAGAAGCTCGAAGAGGAGATACGTCTTCGTGAGCAGCACAATTCACTCGTGATGGAGCAGGAGGCGTTGCATCGTTCCAAGGAGGAGCACAACAAGGCTGAAAGACTTAAGCAGGTTGCGCTGTTAAAACAACAGGAAGAGGTGGTCAGGGCACGATTGCGTACGAAGGAGATAGTCGAAATTCAGGCTAAGGAGCAGAAGCTGCAGAGTCAGCCACAACAACCGGTCATTTATCCTTCAACAGGTTTTTTTCTGTCGAATTCCCAGGCGGTTCCAAGCCCCAGTGGGGCCGCTACCGTACCCTACGTACCTGCAACCCATCCCCTGACGATGACTTCTGCTGTGTTGCGAGATGTTGGAGGCGCCCCTGTCGTGTCACCCGGCATCCATGTCTCTGCCTATCAGTTGCCTAGCGTGGCACACGGTGGAGTCGTGATCCATCCTATGCAGGCTTATCCACCTTTTCAAACTGGCCACACTCCCAATGGGATCCAGCCTATGATCTCTTCCAATCCTGCGGTGACTTACCCTAAAGTGAATTTGTGGAGTAGCACTGGGGTGCCCTACTCTCAGTCATCGCCGCCCAGTACGACACCTATGGGAGAATACGGATATCTAGTGCCGCCTCCTGCGCATCTCATTACTCCCCAAGATCAGGGAGGATCTTGGCAACAGCAATTTAACGTTTTCGAGCATCGCTGATGCGTGGACTTAGCTACTTCTGCACTAGTTGAGTATAAGATATATATACATATATACAGGATCAATCTGTATTTTTCTGCTTTTAGGGATTGACTATCCAAAAGCGTATTTGAATGCAAAAGGATAAAAAATTCCGATACGCTATTTTATTTATTTGTATTTCTTAGTTTGTGTAGGTGCAATTCGCTTTATTTTCACATCATAAAAAGAAATGCTCTACATGCGCAAGGCCTTGTATTTGATTTTTTTCAATATCAAAACTGAAACTCTTATTCCGACTTATCTTTCATATCTGGTACCTTTTTCCCTACATACGTATATTAAGTTATCTTAGTATAGAATATTTTATTTTTGTCTTAGTCTTGTTTTTTTGTATATTATTTTTTACTTTTGTTAGCTTTCCTTATATTGCATATTATTTTGTCTTGTAGCTGTGTAGCCAGCCTATTCTTTCCAGTGTAATATTTAGCTTGATTGCTTTTAAAGTTACTTCTGGAGTGGAAGTGGAGGGTGGGAAGGAGGCAGCTAATAATTAATTCTAAAAGAATTTCGTTGAATTAGTTTGGAAGGACTACAAATCGAGAAATAGCAGCTAAGTTAAGTCACGAGTAAGCACTGAACTGTTGCCTACTTTATTATAAAAACATATTGTAATATTAATTCCAAGCATATCAAGTCTACACTATAACTAAAGGATGTCATCTGCTCAAAATCCACTTCACGACACCATTCCAAGATTGCCAAAAGAGTCTCTTTTTGCTTCTCTGTCTGGAGGTAAGAATAATGCATCTTCCGCAGTTTCTATAGACAGGGGGTTTCAACAGGGCATGCCAATACATAGTTGTACAAGTCCCTTTTCTGCATCCACACCCAACATATCCACTTCCCACGGTGCCGTGCATCGAAGAATTCCCTTTTCTCTACCTTCAACCATTAAAATTGTCAACCACCGAATCGGGGAGCACACAACAGCTTCGCTTCAGAAACTATCCGGACTTACCTTCGGTTCTACCTCTCTTCGTGAAGGACACCATTTCCGATCTGGCGGTCCATTACAAAATAGTAACTCTGAGGCCACTAGTTCAAACATTGAGGATGGTAAACCGCGTGAATTCCATAAGATGCAGTTTCTGAGCGATAAGTTGGGCAATAAGCGTGCCTCAATTTCGGTAAATTCAGTTCCGGGATCTCGTGATAATGGCATCCCTGATGCTGATCTAGAGGGAGAAGAGTTGATCATTTGCACAAAGCATTGGTCGCAATATACACCACCAGACACCGATTTACCGTATGATAACGAAAAAATGGGGCCACAAATACTGGTTTCTGCGGTAGAGCCACGTAGTGATACTGTCAGTATGGTATCCATTCCTAGTTCACGTGTCAAGCCAAATGGCTGTGGCGACTCCGTTAATGCTCGCGGTGAGTCGTTTTCTCCGGGTCGCTGTGCTCCATCTTTTGACTATTCTCGAGGCAAGTGTTCCAGTAATTCAGACAAAAACCATATTACAAGTTCCGTACGTCAACTCGGTAGTAGCATGGTCGGCGTTGAGCAACCAGTGGCACTACAAGAAAAAGGCGTGATGGATGATAGCCCTCATAGAGGTTTTACTTTAGCGTCTATAGGTTCCGCCAGAGTTAACGACAAGGAGGTGTCTAACGCCCGCGAAAGTAATGTTAGTGTAGATCATTCCGGCTACTTTGTGCAACAGCATCCACCGTCTTTTATGCGAATTCAAAGCTCAGAATCTAGTGCAACTAATGCTACTTTCAGTAGGGTAATGCAAAACGATGGGTTGCGATCCTCAGCTAGCTTTGTGGATAGCATCGATCTACCACGCAGGATATCTTTCCAGCGGGGTCGCATGATCGGTTCTGGCGGCTTTGGTACGGTCTATCAGGCCATCCTTCACGATGGTACACTTGCCGCCGTTAAGGAAATTAAAATAGAACCAACTAATTTGAAGTTAATTGACCGTGAGGTGAGCACTATGAGCAGCCTACCACCGCATCCAAACTGCGTACGCTACCTTGGATCGCGGTACAGTCGACATCACTACTACATTATCATGGAGTATATCAGTGGTGGTAGTATTGCTTCATTGCGGCAATCCATTGGCCCTTTTCGTGAATCGGTCTTTCAGCGCTACGCCTACATGGTGCTACTTGGCCTTCACCACTTACACAGCCACAACATCATCCACCGAGATATCAAGGGTGCAAATGTTCTTCTCGACGAGCGTGGGTGCGCTAAAATTGTGGACTTTGGCTGTTGTAAGGACCTGAATAGCGGGAAATCGACCTTGGGCGGCGGTGGCACGCCACTGTGGATGGCATCCGAGGTGTGCCGCGGTGAGGGCGCCACGGAGAAGTCTGATGTGTGGTCTTTTGGTTGCCTATGCTTGGAGATGACGAATGAAACGGGGCTGCCATGGAGCTTTTCTCCTGGGATGACGCTTCAAGGTCTGGCCTACGCCCTCGCGTGTGCTCAAAAACCACCCCCTATCCCAACTACACTCTCCCCCATCTCGCAGGACTTCATTGCGTGCTGCCTTCGGTTAGACCCGGTGGAAAGGTGGAGTGTGTCACAACTCCTTAATCATGACTTTTTCAACCAAGATTACTACCAGCACGATGACGATGATGAGGATGAGCTGATCTTCTCATGTAACACGAGCGCTCACCCATCCGCGGTGAAACGTATCGTTGAGCAAGTCAATAAAGGTGAATACGCGGGAGGTCTCCTTAGTGAGCCAAATGCGGGGCTTCTCGCGCCACAGCCGCATCATTCCCCTGTGTATGCCCCTGAATGCTCTTTCAATCCACACAGCCCCCACTTGTCCAAAGGCTTATCCACTAGCACACGCTCTCAACCACAGTCATCGTTAGCAGCGGCGGACATTTCTGTGAACGGCCTTGAAAGCAGTAAGGGATGTGATAACAGCAGTAGTAAGCCTGTCTGCTCGGGCTCTAACCACACAGGCGAGAATGACCGGCGATTACGAACCATTAATATGGGGTTTCGGCTTGATGTTGTGGATGATAGTGAGGATGGTGGCGAGGCAGTTAAACTCGACATGCATGGTGGGAACTCGAACATGTATATAAAGGAAAGTATTTCCCCATCTAATGACAGCAAACCTTACTATGATGCCTTAGATGACGTCATCGCACTTGCCCACCGTGCCCGTACGGAGGAAAGGCGTGCTGGGGAGGTACTTTCCACTCCCACGTTATCGTTGACCGGGTCTTCCAGTAGTTCGTCGTATCTGGATGCAATGAATACGTCATGTTCTGATAATGTGGACATCTGCATTCCCTCTGATACTAGCAGAACTGCATTACTGATCGGACGTGTAGCGCGACAACGCGGGCCCCGACGCGTTAAAAAGACAAACAAAGGGACGACCAAAACTATTCCCTCAGTACCGCGTACTAAGGATAATAAAACAGCAGATCCGAAGTTTGTTATACACGACGCAGGGACCGAGCCTTTGAGCAATAGTGTTTCCACTAGAGTTGGTGATGCAGTATCTACTACAGGGAAGCACGAGGAGAAGGTGAGAGGTTCGAGGGATATTAGAATCTCATCAGCGCTCCATGCTACTGGTAGCACAATGCTATGCGAGAACAATGAATTGCACCTTAGAAAGGGATGCCAAACAAGTAGGACCATCTTCGACAAGGATAACAGTATGCCACAGAAGCCACAGCCGGAATATTCTATGGCAACATTTGTATCCGCACCGCTAGGACCGTCAGAAGAGCTGTCTTTTCCGAATGAAAATAATCCCAGTACCAATTCTCTTCAGCATCAACAAACCCATCGTCAACCGACAACCCCAAGTCTTTCTCCCACAAATACTTCGCCACTGTCAAGGCTTGTTTGGAGTACTAGTGGTAGCGGCAGTATTTCTAAAGACATATCCGGCGTCTTAAGGGAAGCACACTTCCCTGTGAGTCATGTGAAGTCCTCGGCAACTCAATCACTAACCCCGTGTGAAAATCATCCCATCAACGCTGAATTGGCAATCTCATCAGTTTCTCAATCAAAAGAAAAAAAAAAGAAATTTGATTTTAGGTGGTTTCGGAATAAGTTTTAGCAAAAATGTCACAATTGATTGGGACAAGATGCAAATAAAAATGACATCATAAAAAAATGCCTACCATGTGAGCTCAATGCAGTAATGTCTAATGACATCAACGCAAGAGCGCGAAAAAATACTGAAAGGTGAAGGAGGAAAGATTGTGTTTCCTTGCAAGATTTGGATTTATTAATGATAAACCTGGACTTTTTTTTATTTTTGTTGTATTGAAACTTATGTATCTAGAGTGTAAGAGTGATTGAAAAATTAAATCCTGTCTGAATCTGATTACTTGCACATTCTAAGAGCTATTCAAATAGCACCTATTCCAACCACTATAATGCATTAGTGTGAATTTATGTTCACATTGTTCAACATAAGGGTCATGCTGGTATAATTGCTTACATTCATAGGCTCATGTGACTATTTTAAATTATTTCTTTTTCTCTGTTCGCTCTCGTTCGTGATTTTTCTATAAATAGTTCTTCAGACAAGGATCATGCCTTCCATCACCGCCGCGAAGAGGGAGTATGAGGAGCGCCTCATGGACTGCCTCAACAAGTACAGCCGAGTGCTGTTCATTGGCGTGGATAACGTGCGCTCGCAGCAGATGCACGACGTCCGCGCCGCCCTCCGTGGCAAGGCCGAGATTTTGATGGGTAAAAAGACGCTACAGGCCAAGATCGTGGAGAAGCGCGCACTGTCCAACGATGCTACAAGCGGAGCGAAGCACTTCCACGACGAATGTGAGGAGCACAAGCTCCTGACAGGAAGCACTGGTCTTGTGTTCACCAACGAGGATGTGCAGACGATTACTGCGGTGCTGGATCAGCACCGTGTAAAGGCCCCTGCGCGTGTTGGCGCCATCGCTCCCTGCGACGTGATCGTTCCCGCGGGAAACACTGGCATGGAGCCGACTCAGACCTCCTTCTTCCAGGCCCTCAACATCGCGACGAAGATTTCGAAGGGTACCGTCGAGATTGTGTCCGACCGGAAGGTGCTCTCTGTGGGCGACAAGGTCGACAACTCCACGGCGACGCTGCTGCAGAAGCTAAACATCAGCCCGTTCTACTACCAGGCCGAGGTCATCTCCGCGTGGGACCGTGGCGTGCTGTTCGCGCGTGACGACCTCAAGATCACCGACGACATCGTGGAGGGCCACCTCCTCGAGGGCATCAGCAACATTTCTGCCATGTCTCTCGGCGCGGGCATCCCAACCGCCGTGACGATCGGCCCGATGATTGTCGACGCCTTCAAGACGCTCCTTGGGGTGTCCGTCGCCACCGAGTACGAG